AGTTGACCACAAACGTTATTCGATGATATTTTTGGTTTTATTTTTTTCTAAAAAATCACAAGTTTGATGTAAGAAATCAACATAACAGGATATGATATTCGTCTTTGAATATGTCCGTACCAAAATGTATATCTAACATCGGCGTTAAGTATAAAACGTATTGTTTTTCAGAAATAATGTAAGAACTCATCTTGTTCGGTTACGTTTTATTCAAATTCGAAATAAGACGTTTTAGAATTTTTAGTACATCCTGCTAAAGTCGTTTTGTGAAGCAAATAAAAAAGCGAAACCTTGTTAACGACACAAACGTTTGACGTAAAACAAAGAATTTCAGTTAATACGTCTTAAGTCTCCGATGTAATTATTATCTAATAAACAACGCGTAGCTATTGTATACTTTAATGAAATAAAATTGGTTCAAAACGAGATTTACTTTAGTTCTACTTTTTTTTAATCATGTCTGTTCGTGTATCCTGCTAATATTTGCAACAGTTAGGTATTAGTGTATCCGAAAAAAGTATAGTATGCCACTTATACGACCAACATTTTTTCAACTATTTATTTAAGCGTACAGTTTTATTTTTAATTTAAAACGATTTTCCAAGTTTCCACGGAAAAAATAATTACCTATATCTTGTAACGAGTACAGTAAAGTATAATAATTTTTCGAAATGAGTCTTTTTCATTTGAATTTCAAACAATTGCATGAATACATTAAGAAATAACTGCTTTAACCTGAATTTTAGTTAAAATAGTGGTTTGAATATTTTGTTTAAATTAAAAACATGAATATATTTACGTAACGAAAAATGGTAGACAGTCATAAAAATTATTAAATTTGTAAGTTAATAGTACTTATACTTAGACTTTATAAGAAAAAATAATGAATATTATATAATACCAGTTTATAGAAAAAATATTTTCTAAATAACTTGTGCAATACATTTTTTTAAAAAATGGAAATTTTAAAAAACAAGTTATTTAAACCAATTGATAATGGGATAGTGCTATACTATAACAATACAACTCGGAAACGTTTTCAAATAAATAAAACATAAATTACCCATATTAAAGCAAAATATTTAGCAGAATATGTAAAATATATATTAGAATAAAACGTTTTACAAAGTATAGTTAAGTAATCCAAATTAAAACAATTTTTTGATTGATCGAAAATTAACAACAATAATACCTCATTGTAGTAATACTATTTATAAAATTTGATAACATCGATAATATCCGCAATCGACCTAGCACGTACACACATTGTATAACGTTGTGTTATGTTATGTATATTGTATAATGTTTATTTAATGTACGTTTGATGTTAGATATTTCATTTGACTACGAAATCATTTTTTACCGGTTATTCTTTAGTAGATCAATACCAAAACGATGGAAATAACTTTGTACATCAATCACTATAAATATTATAATACAGCGTATTTTATGAATATCGCTTTTGAATAATATATTAGTATTGAGCTCTAATTAATTAAAAATAGCAATACATTTGGTCATCGAACTGATTTCGTTTGATACCCGGAAAGGTAAGGGTAAGTGTTTTTCTGTAGACGCATTCGACAACAATGTCAAATGGTATAATAAACAAGTACGAAATCGTGAGACAAAGGAGTGTCAGGGATGATATAACATGTAAAAAAAAAAAATCGTGTGTTGTCTACGTTAAATCTTGAGCGAGTAAATCATAGTAAGTATGATCTCTGGAGTGGCTGATTATCGGCCTAAAGCGATTGAATTCAATTTCGAGGGTTAACCGAGTGCACCCCGTGTCGACATTTCGATACCGCGTTCGAACATATACACTTTCGTAAACAATAACACTTCTTCTTTTTGAGTTTGGTGAAAAATATAAATATTAAAATGCGTCGAGGACATGAAAAAAATGATAATGACATTATATTCGGCTACGTTTCCTTGTCGTGACATAAATAGTAGACATACAAATCCTTTCGTACTCAAGCGATTATTGCACGCACATTCGCACACAACTAGGTATTATTTTTGACCGTTATTTATGTCCAGATCCAAAAAATGGTATAACGATAAATGTATTTTGTTTTATCTACTGGCATTATACTAGGATAGAGTTTTTTTTATTTTTTATTCCTATCTGATCGAAATTTCACGTAGTAAATACATGTCAAAAACCCGGCACGTCGTAAGTTCAAGAGAGTTGACACACTTAGTTTGTATTGAGTTAAAAAAAAAAATAAAAAAATACTGCAATTTTATATTGGTTTCCAGTGCAGAGAAATATTAAGAAAATAAATGTTGAAAGAATATTAAATGCCTTTCAGTCGTCATTGTATTTCTTTTAGTAAATCAATTAATTTTATGACATATGGCTGGATAGTTGAATATAAATGTGAAATTACCCCTATAAAGATCTTCCCTGCGAATGTAGACAGTTTTTATTTATGGGTTGTGGCTTTTAAAGTCAGCCCTCTAAGTCTCCCTATTTCTCTGTTCTTCATTGCTTTTCTCAATTGTATTCCAGGTTTCACCATCAATACATCACAATTTTCCTATCTTGAGAGAGGTTTTTCCTGATGTGGCCTTTCTGTCGGTTCATATAGCTTATGTATTATTTATTATAAAACTTATTTTGCTAATTTTAAAATGTTAACTGGTTACGTAAATTAATGGAACTTTTATATTCAGAATCATAGTCGATAACTAAGGACAATATCTCAATTCAGTAAATTTTTAAAGATACATTTTAATCTCAATATTTGTAATTAAATAAATACAAAAGTATCTTTTTATTTTATTGATGCACGTAAATAAATCATAAATACTAAACAAAAAGAAAACCTTTATATTATGTTAAAATCTGTCGAAGGTATAAAATAAATAAATATTATTTCATTGTTAAATAATGAAAACAAATTGAAAAACAACTTTACAAATGAAAATGTATACAAATATTACAATTAATTCCCTAACAATATAAAAATATATTAGAATTGAGATATGATCGTAGCAGTTTGTAATTAAATTATATCCATGGGGAAAACCATCGTGTTGGACATTTTTTTAAAAATGTTATTTCGAGTACAGTTAATAAAAATAAATAAAACAAAAGGGCACACAGGATTATATATGTAAACGGAGTAATCCTATTGGTCACACCTGTGTCATTTAGAAAGGAAAAAAGTAAAATGCGATGCATTGTAATCCAATCGTTGATGATGTGTTATTAAAAATACGGTTGAGACCACAACTTTTTTAAATACATTGTTATAAGCGTCACACAGAATCGTGTGAAAAATCGAACACGTCTAGATGGTTTTTTACGTTTTTGGGTTTATGCTTACGTACCTCTTTTTGCATTTTAATTAATATTATCGTTTTATATTTTATCAATCTTGCACGCATATACGCACCCACTCATAGCACATGTTTACCAGCTCATGAACAATAAACACGTCGGGATCGATACACGCGGTGACGACGAACCGCGTTTAATGTAGACCCACGTTGAGTTGAAAATTTCATACAAAAGGTCCCTGTCGGCGATACTTTTTGTATATCATACATATAAATGTGCGTACGGAGCGTAGTGAATGGTGGTGGTGGTGTCGAGGACGGCAGCAGTTGTTGAACGATGTACAAATGTAGTGTAGGGGGACTGTATTTTTTTTCAGTCGCCCGAAAAGGTCGTGCGTGAAAATGTCTTTGGAGAAGGTCTTAGAAGGTCGCACTGATAATGAGGTTATACGTATAAATCGTGGCGTCAAACGTTTGTTGTGGAAAATGTACCGCTGTCGAAAAAAGGATGAAAAAATAAGAAAAAGGCCAAAAAAAAAAAATAAACAATAACAACACTATCATTGTACAGAATATGAGAGTTTTTTGAGTGATAAAATATGGACCCGAAAACAATGCGATACTGCACGAACTCCGCGTGCACGTGTTATAATAATAATGGCAAGCGTTATTTATTCGTTCGCCGGGATCAAAGGTCGTGGGCGAAACGCGATGTGTGCACGTATAATACGCATGCAGTGAACCAGCAGAAATGTATCATCGCCGTTGCAGTCATCGTTGTGATATTCTGTTAAAAAAGGCTTCACGAATATAAAATATATCGTAGCCTGTAGACACCTGTAGTACAAGTACAACGAGATCGTCTTCAAAAACAATCTTTTTAGACACTGTGTGACGGAAACTATCTGCAAAAGTTGACGACACTGGACCAACAATTACAGAGCCCACGGTTTACCAGATCGAATGGTAGTGGGTTGAATAATTTATGGGACAGACAGACTACACGGCCGACGGCTAATGGGTCGAATAAACGATAGTTTTTAAAATATTTAGCGTTGCCAAAACTTTTTTAGGGACGTCTAGACCTTATTGCGACATATATTTCCGTATTTCCGTTAAAAAGGTTTTACGAACTTTATTTTTTGTATGCAAAATCAGCTTATAATTCAATTACCGTCCACGACATCCGTTATTACTGATGTTTATGAAGAATAAGTATAACTTTTAATTTCATGACACGCGATGCCACGTGTACAATCCAGATAAGTATTATAAATTGAGTGCATTTATATCATATTATTAAGATTTTTAAAAATTACGTCATCATATAGGTACAATTAGGTGGTAACCTCGAGTATTAATTTTGTATTTTGTCAAGTTTTTAGCTAATACAGTTTATAAGACAAACATGAGTATGAGAAAAACATAACTAATAATGAGAAAACTATGAAAAAATGTATTGTTATATGGGTCCATTGACCTTTTCTCGCTTGTTAAACCTATAGAACTCGGCTGAAACGAAAATAACAATTTGTAGATCGGTTCAAAATGAATAGTCAATATTAACGAGTATATCGAATGATTGACGTGGAAGTTGAACGGTCAATCGGCATTTTAATAATGAAAGTATAAAACAATAACTATACAAAACAATTTTAATCAAATATTATATCAATCATAAACGAAATTATATAATAGCTATTTACCTCCAAAGCAGCTATTGATATAGCTATATTAGTTGTCCACCTGGAATTGTACTCCAAGAACCATGTCACCTCATCCGCGCACCCGTAGAAGAACGCGTTACCGGTTACCGTATCTCTGCATTCGGTAGGCAAAGCTTTCCTCAAAGACAAATAATCGTTTGGTCCATCTGCTCCGCAACATCCGATCTGAAATCATACCACGACGTGGAAAATTGATAAACTTCAGTAGTTGTACAAACACTAGTTTACAGGACATATAAAAAAAGGACCGCCTGCCTAAAGACGGTGAATGTGCTTCCCTGAAATCTAATTAGATGTAAGGAAATGTTATCATTTCGATTTCTAGACGCTTTAAATTGGTAATTTTAGGTATAATACTTCTCATAATCTTATTAATTTTAATTTTTTTTATCAACATTTAATAAAAAACAAACCATACTGGATATCAAACTCCAAATCTTCAAATCCTCAATAAAGACAAAGTGGACCGATGTCCTCCAACTCTGGAGTAATGCAAAAAAATACAATTTAAATAGAATTCTAACTCTACAATATATAACCGTACGTAAAATCTCTAATGCCCCACCATATATTTCTAACTTATCTCTTCATATATAATTAAAAGTGAAGACTGTTCACGAAGAAGCTATTACCTATTGTAAAATACGAGTATACCATTCAAAACTTCTTTTTTATCCTGATTCCCTTATAGCTAATCTAGTCACACTATCGATTCCAGAAAACCCACCGAGATGTTCAAAAATAAACTGGTGCAGAAACCTTCTTGATAATAATTAAAATGTAAAATTGCATGTTGAAAAATAAATACATTACAATTGTTTATATCTTTATAAAATGAATTTACTCGATATTTAAGATTATGTTCACAATTAGTAAGAAGCACCAGCAAAAGCCCATATAGAATCAGGACCCTCTTTACTGTAGGTTACGATGAAAGTAAATTGATTTGTTTAATTTATTTTAACTGAAAACATATTTGTGTAAATATACAAATAAAAACCTTCTTAAAAATACAATATAAAGAGCTTTATTTCACTTCTTAAATATCTTCTTCTTACGTATAACTCTATTACGTAAGTACAGTGTACAATTTCATACTACAATGCACCTAGTAATGTTTTCGGATAATTCAATCCACGTGATAGGTATTTAGCCGGTGTGTAAATGTCCTTGTGTTACACAACAGTGCTGTTGAAGTGCAATACATTATATTGGAGCATATATTTTATTTTTTACTCATAAGAGTAGTACATACAATGATTGTTAAAAATAAAAATGTCGATTTCACCGTGTTGCTTTTATGACCGGCAAAAGCACAATAAGTCCGGGTGCCTCTACAAATGCCAGGTCCAGTATACAATAGCATGTACATGCGATGACTTTTGTGCACAAGGTAGAGGGAAACCCATTGCTCCGGGAATACTACACTTGAAACACAAAACACGAATTCAGAATGCACGTTTCAAAAGAACAGTCTAATACAAAATGCTCAAAAGGCCATCGATTGAAAACGAAATACGTCTACTGCCGCGGTGACGGTAAGCTAATGCGTTTTAGCACTTAAACATAAAAACGGCGGATAACCATGGCAGACGCTACGCGGTCATTTGAATTTACGAGTACGTTACCCCGGATGGTCATCGGTTGAAATTCTTATACAAATATTATGATAGTTTATCGCGATTTTCTGTACGTTCATCATCGTGGGACAAATAATTCGTTTTTTTTTTTTTAACTATAAAAAAAGAAAAAATAGCCACGCGCTGTTTAACAAACTCTTGACTGGCAATTTATCAAGTACTCGCTGCTTTTATTCGGAACCCAACTAGTGTGATATTTTTTATTACCTTTTCATATTTCAATCAGAGTCGACTCGATCGATTAGAGCACATATTCATCGATAGTCACATCGTTAAACTTTTTATTTCACTATTTCGACAGTTTAATATGAAATACCAGCTAATTCATCGTGAAAACAATGCGAATAGGTATGTTTAATAAAATCATAGTATATCATAGTATAGTATAGTGTTGCATGCCAAGAAGTCGGTTGTGGTATCGATAAAGAGATCATGATATTTAAAATAAAGTAAAATGAAAATGCACTGCTCTCAAGTTGAGCAACAGTTGTATTGTAAAATAATTACAAGTCGAAATAATTATTCGTAAAAATAATTTCCTGTCAACCGCGTGCGTGATATGTTTCCTCACATCTTCCATGGTCCTAACATTATCATTACTTATTGTCTTGGGTCGTCATATAAATATTTATAACCTTCTTTTATACAAACGCTTGTACATTAATTTATCTTCATTCGTTCGTTTCACTTTCTGACCTTTTTAATAGATTTGATGATCACGACGATATGGACATTTTTGATAGCCCATTCCTATCTCTTTACGAGTATAATCTGCATTGAACAATAGGATTGCACTTATGTCGTGTGGTCGTAATAAAAGTTAATGTTCGCAAACCCGAGGAAGAGAAAAACACGTCGTCGATTTTTAGCTTATGAAATTAGCTCGAGAAATTTGTACTTGCAGTTGTTTGAGGCATGATGATGGTTTCGCGAACTGCCCTGTGGACGACTCGTATTCTGTATGCGCACGTTTACGGTATGCTGAAGGATATACCGCATATTATGTACATTGTTCGACACTATTGAAACGTATAACGCCCAGAGTAGTATCATCAATCGACATGAATCAGGGGCGAACGCTCGGAAAAAGTTTGCGGGGGTATTTAAAATAGCGTAAGATGTAAATCATTAATAAATAGTATGCTATATAACTTATTACATAATATATGTATACAGTGGTGTAGATACAATTTTTTTCTGGGGGGGAGGCGTTTAAGAGTCAATTCATAATATTCTTAGTGTATCTTAATACGAGCTCGTATATAAAATTATCATATTACATTTAAAATGGTATTATTATTATGTCCCGTATTTAATGAAAATTATTTTGTTACTATTATATACTTACTGTATAATATATACCTAATCATAGTAAAATGAAAATATAATTTTACTATAATATGTAAATATTAATAAATAATAATTAAAAAAAAAAAAAAATGGATGGGTTGAAACTTTTTGCACCCCCCATACCACTACACCCCTACACCACTGTATATATATATATATTTTGATATTTTATTTGCAAATCTCATGGAGAACTTTGAAATCACTGTTAAATGTGTTAATCAGGTCATTTTTTTCTGATATTTCGTGGGGGTTGGGGGTTAATAAAAATACAATGTACATGGAAAACGGTTTGCCCATTGTTATGTAAACAATATAATATAGGGTAGAACACGATTGTGTACGTTTGTAGATGGGTAACAAAAAGGTGGGTAAGAAAAAATAAACACGATTGCGTTTGAAATTGCATGCGACGTTGTCAAATTATCTAATTTCACCTTATTATATTTAATAAATATAGAATATACATATACATATAACAATTCTATACAGTTCATAAAAAAAATTAATAATAAATCAAATGAGGATAACTAAATAAAAGAAAAGTAATTAATTTAATCTAATTTAAATTAATTAATAAATAAATAAAATCGACAGTTTTTATTTGAATTTAATTATTGTTAATAAATTATTCGAAAATGCTTAAATTTGGATTCCTTGACATCTATAACCTACTACTTTTATTGAATCTCAGAAAATACCGGATAATATAACGGAAATAACGAAATTTCGTTGTATCTGATATATTTGATATCATTGAAAACATTAAAAACATTAATAAAACACAAAGTATTTATTAACTTCTTTATAAAGTTCTCTCACATAGGCATGTAGTATACATCAATACCGGTATGAAAATTGGTATCAAAGTTCAAAACTTCGTACACAATCGTGTAGTTAAAAATCAGGTAAAATCGTACGGAATCGTACGTAGTTTAAAAAGGTATCACCGACAACGAACATACGAAATCGTGTTTTACCCATAATATAATAATATGCTAACGTATTAGCGGTAAGTACACGTTTTCGCATTGCTATACGCGTGGCTTACACATACCCGTGTGGTATTTGACGTGAGACGACTCGATTATAATAATATTAGGCAGGCGGTCAGAGAACACGATTGTTACAGCAGCAATAATAATAATAATACTCCATAATGACGTAAATAAGGACGCGTTAGGAATTGGTTCGATCGTCTGATGTAGCTGATACAATGTCAAACAGACGCTATAAACTGCGCATATACGACAAAACCCGAACCATCCTGGTAGTGATATAATAAAATAACTGATATATATGCACGTATGTAAAAAAATGGCAAAATATTTTATTCGAAACGTCTGCGGCACAATGCGAACGTCATTAGCCGATTCGAAGCTGTGTATGAGGTATAATAATAATAATATCTAAAACGTCGGGCTGATCCATCACTTTTTATAACATCGAAGTTTTTTATTCATCGAAGTTCATCATCGTCGTCGTGTACGTACCCACAAGATATGGTTTCTAAAATTTTTACGGTATCTAAACAGCATTGAAAAAAAAAACGATAAGTGATGTTTTAAATTAATACGATCGAATACATTAAATAAATCGAAAGTATTAAGACATGCTTTAGATAAAAATGTTTCTATATTCATCTGATATGAGGAAGGGATCGATGGATCGATAAAAATGGGCTGATAAGACAATATATTCTTTAAAGTTTTTTAAATTTTAAATTAAATCTTTCTTATATCCATACTTATCCAATAAATTGTATAAGATTATAGCTTGATAAAATATCTATAACACAAAATTAAAATTCGAGGTTATCACATACAATCACTTTATTATTATAATAACATTAATCAGCCCTTTGGACATATTGTATCAATATAATGACGTCATTTTTGAAAATTTCTAAATCAAGTAAATATTTATCTGAATCGTGTATGGTAATTTGATCAAGGAATTTAATGTACTCGATTTATTATTCAAACATAAACTATAACATTTAATATCAGATCGAGTTTTAAATTTAAAATTAAGTTGGCAATGGTTCAGTCAAATATGTATTAGTTTTTAGCAAACAACAAAAAAAAAATTGTGCTCATTTGGTAGGCATGCGCTCTACTACAGACAGCTAACCAAATTTCTGATCCCGAAAAGACGACTGTTATAAAACTTATAGAA